TGAGACTGGTCGTCGCTGCGGAATTTGTCAGCATGGGTATATACAGTCTTACAGACTTGATTTTAATCCCGTTGGAATATTTGGGATTGCACATATGCTTTTACTCGCCTATGTTATGGGTGTGCACAAGATGAGATGATATTGACAAATAGCCTATTAATGGGGAATTATTATGTGCACCCTACTTCAGAAGTGAACCACAGACATGACACAATGTGTCTTACAAGGTCTTGTCATGGTATGGATCTGGTTATCTCCCATATTGGGCAGTGGCTGGTTGGTTGCAACTTAAACCCCTCCTTTTTCTCAACCTGGCTTCTGATAAGCTTATGTAAAACAGCTTGGCCTTATCCTGGCATTGCTGGCTCTCTCTACTTCTAGTTACTGTATATACTTCACCTAATTCTCTCTTACTGCATGTTGGTCATAGTCAACACTGTCCCCATGCAACATCAGACCTTTCCACTTCACCTTTCCTGGCAAACCCCTTGTATCGGTTGAGCCTGATCGCCTTTTTTTTTAGCCTTATAACAATGCCAAACTTTTTGTCTATGTGCAAGGAGTGATGTCTAATTGTGCTACTCTTCTGATATGCTCTGAATATGTACGTGGAGTCTCCCTGTGAAGACTCAACCTTTTCACTGCGGGTGCTCCTGAGATGGCTCCGAAACTTTTCTTTACCTCTGTTGCTCTAACAGTGTAATTCACTTCAGTCACTAGGCACTCTCTCTCATAACCAGAGCAGATCATCAATAATTGAAGTAGTACGGTAATTACTGGATTCTGTTTAACACACACAAAATGGTAATAGGAAGAGCCAGACACAAACCTACCATTTTGTGTGTCCAGTAATAATAGAGTGGGGCCAGCTGATGAGTCCTCCCACTATAAACATAAGGGACGAAAACCATCTCTGGGGGATAACCCCTGGAGATTGTTCCTGGCTTTTTCTTGTTCTCTTCTTTGTGCTATATAGTTGACATTTTCATGTTGTGTTTGTATACATGCCATGCCATTGTGTCTGTCATGCAGTGCATTACAACTCTTCTGGTATGCTCTGTTATCTATGTATGTGGAGTCTCACTGTCTTGGTGGTTGTTAGCAGTGAAGACCGTACTGTGGGTAAACTTTAACTCAGTGAGTGACATTCACTAGTCCACAGTGAAGTCACTGCAGTCGCTGAGTCACAAGAGTTAAGTAGAGACTTCTGACTCAGTCACTCAGTCAATGTCTTAGTCGTCTAGTTGAAACCTTGTCCACATTTAAAGAGCTCTGCCTTATAAGTATGGTTATGGCGGTGCTAATAGATTGCCCTTATATTAGGGGAATTTTAAGTGAACGAATACTCTTGGAAACCTGCTGGTTTTCTTTTTATTGTTTTGACCACAACGTGCACAGATGCATTCCTTATCCCTGCTGCATAGGATCGCTGTGCATGCGAGGTGTGGCTTAATGAATGAGCCTACATTTTCGTCTCAGTGTTCTTTACTCAAAGTGATGGGCAGATTTTGGCTTCTGATTATCAATACATATATACTCAATCAAAATTACATACTCTAAATTATTTCTGGTACTGTAAATACTAACAACACAGTCAGTGCACATCAGAAGGCTTTGGTTGGGTTTCATTGTCTGTTACATGCCGGATAAAAATAGCATCTCTTTGTGGTGCCATCTCCTCCTGGGGCCACACACTCGACACTGCAATGGCAATCATTGAGCCCTCCCAGTTGAAGGATAGAGAGGCAATATCAACTGTGTATCGGTGAAACTGGCAGAGCCGCTTCTTGTTGAATGGGTCCCATATGTTAACAAACCCATCACTGCCTCCAGTAGCAAATGTGTTGTGTCCTCGGTGAAATGAAATTGCATTTACAGGGTATATGTTCTCAATGCCTTTCCTGCTTCACACGATGACATTTGAAAGCATACTTCTTTTTCTGCGTCTCTGCATCTGTATTCAAGTACTCCACTGCTACCCTATATATACAAGCATCCACAACTATGACACCAATAACCAACAACTGCAAGTGCTAACCTTCCTTCTATGGAACTGAGAACAAATCCCTGGCGGTTTGGGAAACAACGGATTGCTCTCGTTTGGTATTTCAGACTCGATGCACGTCTTTGCTCAGCAAACTGCATGTTCTTCAAGTCCCACACAAGAACCTTAGAGAACAAGACGTAATAATGTTACTGCCTAGAGATTAGCTAATAACACACCTTGCGATTGGAAGTTCCCACAACGAGTCTGTCTCCACATAGACTCATTGTGTACACACTCTCTCCACTCAGATCATAAGTTCCTACACCAGTGTGGCAGTAGATACAATGACCATAGCTCTAATACACTATCAACCCAGAGGACTCTTACTGAAAACTGAGGAGACTGTCCAGTCATCCTCTAAGTTTCTCGTTAACAACATTATCTACTAAGGAAGAGGCCTTATAGCAGCAATGAATTTGTTCATCTGTGCGATATTCCGATATTCCTGCTCAAAATGTATACACACTAACCAACACTTTGCTTTTGGCGAGGATCCCATAACTTGATAGTTTTGTCCCAGGAACCAGTAACCACTACTCCTACTTCGGAACAGTACTCAACACAACGAATGCCGTCCTCGTGAGAGCCTAGACTGCTGGATTGCTGAGTGGCTAGGTCAGAATGCAAGAGACGTCTGTCCAAACCACCGCTGAACGCATGGCTCGGATCACTGAAGCAGCAATCTAGAACTGCAAACTGAAAAAGGGAGGAGAAGGCACTGAGCACTGAGCCACGATCGAAGGTCTCACTGGATGCTGGATCTTGGCCTTCAGCTGGTTGTTCTGCACGTCGTAGAGCCTCAACCCGCAGTCCCACGACGAGCACAACAAAAGAGGCGAAGCAGGTGCGGGACAAAACTCTACACACGTGATCCCATCTTCAGGTGCTTTCTCCAGTTCGAACTCAACTTTCAGAGGCATTCTTCGATCTCTCCCTCTCCGCGGCCGTTCTCGCGCCCCTCTAGGCAGAACGCGCGCCCTAGGTCCAAGGTCAGAGGAAGTGGTGACACGCGTCATCGATGGCGGCTAATTTTTTTTTTGCTGAATCAGCAATCTCTCCTTCTGAGAATGTGTATACAAACAGCATCAAAGCCAAGTCAAGATCGTACATGTTATGTTGCTGTAGCTTCACTCAAAGCTGTTCCAAGCGAGTTATCTACAGCGAAGAGTACTAGAAGCTTCAAAGCATACGCGTGGTAACTCAGCTAATCATGCCTTACTTTTTTCCGATCCTTTTTATATACAACTCTCTGAGAGATTTCAAGCGCTATAAAACTAGGCCATGAACTGCAGAGGTCGACGTCCAACGCCTACATTCCTGAAATGTTAATTGGAATTCTTGGCACAATTCACGTGGATTCATGTGATCTTGTCCAACCTCTGGTCCAGAAGAGTAATGCGAGCTATAACTGTTCTATGCATCTCTTGTATGCTCTGGCAGCAGCTGTCCAGGATCACTGTAAAACAACAAAGATATTACTTTTGGAGTATTTCAATCAGATATTGAAAACCTGATTCATGTGCAGTGGCAACTTCACGCATTTGCAGGTAGGATGGCCCAGATACAACAGTCAAAGTATTCTGGTGGGTCAGCTTCTCCCTCATAGCCCCGCTCACTGTGATCTTAACAGGTTAGGTGGCTAAGAATGCTTTGCTACAAACATACGCTCTTCTTTGCCGACATGTAGCTTTGTCGAGTGTAAGGAAGAAGTGAGTGTCAAAAATACATCTCAATTCACTGCAGCATTATAGCAGCACAAGCACTAGTAAAAAGGACACTGAAAATATCCTGTTGTGATCCTCACTTCAATGCTAGTATCATGGTCCCCTCCACAACAATGAGATGAGTTGCTGAACATCCACATGTACCACAATTTCTACATAAGACATGTGGTTGCTGGACTGCTTCCTTCACTGAACTCACCAGGTCCTTCTGATTTAGGGAGCTCACGACTGGGGTGGAAGAATGCAATCACCACACAATACTAAGGACCTCACCATCCCAGTTGTACATGCCATTGAACTTTTCGACTGGGTCTTCCTTATAAAACACAAGGCAGCAACCACACACTTGGTCATCAAGTAGATTTTTTACACTCACCAAATAAAACCTGTCCTGATGGATGACAACTGAGTGCGGAAATTCCTCTTGCAAAAGAAGTGCCAAGGATGTTTTGCCACTGCATGTGGCCCTGTGTAAATGAGTGACCCATACGTGACAACATAAAAATTGAAACCCTCACCCAGCTATCCTGACGACACAGCTAGCTGTACAGAGAGCCATTTTCTCATGCGCAATTTAAGCGCACCATGACCAAGGCTCGACCACAGCCACACCCACGTGCTCGCGAACGTGAGAGGACAGCTGCGTTCTCGCCCACCGCCGGCTAGCTAGATCAATGTTAGGCCTGAGATACCTCCGAGCGACCGGATCAGCCGTGCTGAGGGCGAAGCACCACTCGACCGGCTCAAGCGGTGACGTACAGAGAGTTACACTCATCAAAGGAGATGGAATTGGACCTGAAATATCTGAGGCAGTTATTAACATCTTCAAAGCAGCGAAGGTAGACCAATTCATTCGTTGATCGTTACAGTGACGGGGTAAGTAGGTGCCAGTTGCATGGGACTGTGTAAGTGTTGCACCAGTGAGGACGCCTGATGGACACGTCACTGTTCCTGAAGAAGTCATCCACTCCATGCAGAAGAACAAGATTGGACTAAAAGGTGTGTCTTCAGTTCCTATTTTCACTTGGGAGAAACCAGATACTTTGTGCAGGACCTTTGGAAACACAAGTGGGGAAAGGTGCAGTGTCTCTCAACTTGACTCTGAGAAGGTATACATTTCAGCATTTCTAGTTACTTACATTCTGTTTTCTGGCACTCAGAGTGTTCAATCTGTATGCGAATGTGCGACCATGTGTGTCACTGGAAGGCTACAAGACAGGCTATGATGGAGTAAATCTGGTGACCATAAGAGAGAACACTGAGGGAGAGTACAGTGGAATAGAACATGAGGCAAGGATGGCACTAAACAGAGTTCCCCAATTCACCTCCCATTCAATGCAGGTAGTTGAGGGTGTGGTACAGAGCATCAAACTCATAACTAAGACAGCTTCTGAGAGGGTGGCTCGGTTTGCCTTTGAGTATGCCAGTACTCACGGGAGAAGGAAAGTAACTGCTGTGCACAAGTCCAACATCATGCGTCGAGCAGACGGCCTCTTTCTTGCCTGCTGCAGCCAAGTGGCTGCCAACTATCCTCAAATCACATATTCTGATATGTATCTGGATACTGCATGCCTAAATGTAGGTGCTTTTACACTGTGTATATACTGGGGCAATAATAAATGCATTTGTTGGTTATCCAGCTGGTTCAAGATCCCTCTCAGTTTGATGTTCTGGTGATGCCCAACTTGTATGGAGACATACTGAGTGACTTGTGTGCTGGTCTGGTTGGTGGGCTTGGCCTTACCCCCTCAGGAAACATTGGTGCAGATGGAGTGGCCATCTTTGAGGCTGTGAGTGTCACATCTGCTTCCCATACAAACCTTGCCCTGCCACTGGGTGTCTAGGTCCATGGCACAGCCCCAGACATTGCTGGTGAGGATAAAGCCAACCCAACAGCTCTTCTTCTGTCAGCTGTGATGATGCTAAGGCACATGGGCTTCCAGGAACATGCACAAAAAGTTGAAGGAGCCATCCTAAAAACAATCCGTGAAGCTAAGGTGCACAGTGCTGGTGCAGTATCATGTGCATCGAGTTCTCTTTGTATAATATAGATGTTGACTGGTGATCTTGGGGGCTCTGCCTTGTGCTCTCAGTACACTCAGGAGATCATTAACAACCTCGGGTGACAAAAGCATTCATGGCAAGACCTCTTTTCATTATCAGCTTTTATCCATGCAAGTGCTGAGCACTCTCGTAATAATTAAATCTGTCATGTCCTGATTTGCTGCTCAATTCTGTGGGCCATCATTCTGTCTATTCTGGCCTGTCTCCAATGCACAACTACCAGTGAGAGAGATCCGACCAACACAGCGATGGCCTGTGCTGGCAGAAATTGTCAATTGTCAATATATAACTGTATCAGTATGATATTACAGTTCATGGACCTGTAATATCCAGAATGCTCTCTGCTTGTTGTGATCCGCAAGGTAGTGACAGCTGTGGCGGTGAAATTGAGAACATTACTAGAACGAATGCCACGCATACTTGGTGAGCGAGTGCGAGCAGTTCAACATTTCACGCATGTTTTGCATGTACTTAGAATCATGTAGAATGTTACGGTAGTGACGGCGCCAGACTGTTATGAGCAACATTGAAACGACTAGGTAGGCTTGCTTAGCTCGCCAATTACACCAAAATGCATTTTCTCCCCACCTGATGTACTTGCTAGCCTTTTCATGAGAACAGAAGGCCCACTGTCTGTAGCCTGTACGAAGACACTCCTTCACTTGTCTGTTCATCTCAAACCGGGAACATGGTTTGCACCTGCCCTCCCCAATACAGCCAACGTCTCTAGTAGCTGGCAGCAACGAGATATAATACACAGCTCTGACAAATCAGTCCAAGATCAAACCAACTGTTTGTGGTCACGTGAACGGTCTGGGAATACATGGGAACATCTTTGTCTGCGTTTGTCTCTGGCAGACTGAGGGGGCCACGGCTTAGTGCAACTCCTACCGCCCTCAGCAAAACAAACCTATAACAAAAGACACAGAAAGTATAAGTACGCTGCCGACGGCCAAGCAGTGCGCTCACGTAACTAAGAAGACGACAAACTCCATCACGAGCACTTGAAGGTCAAAGGTGATGCAAACAGATGGGCGGAGCCTCTGATCCGTAGGAGGCGTGTGTGTCTAGTCTGTCAACAACTACCCCCAGCGAAATGTCTGCCGGAGGAGAGGCGCGAGGCATTCAGAATCCAGCTAAGGCGGACAAAGAATTGGTCCCAGAGCAGTTTTTGAGTCCTAAAAAAGTATGTGTTATATTTCACGCACTAACAAAATCCTGCCAGTCTCACTCCTGTTTCGCAGGCGAACGAGGTGTCACAAGTGGAATTTCAAAAGAAGTATGGATTTGTGAAGAGGCCGACCCCTCGGAAGACGTCTTCTGTAAGTCCCTAGGTAACCTTTAAGAATGATCACGGGAGTCAATTACATACAGGGTGGAAAGCAATACTTTGACTCTGGAGACTACAACATGGAGGCTTCCAAGACTCAGAGGAAAGAGATTGCGGCTCACCCAAGAGCCATGAATCCCAACATGGCCCAAATGAGAATGAAGGCCACCATCACAAAGACACAGCCCAGCAAGCTGACCTCCTCCCAGGGCTCCCCACCTGCCCTGGCCAGCAGAGTAGCAAGGGCTTCTCCACTAGCACAGTAACTACTCAGGCTGAACTGTACATGAAGAGATTCTCACTGTCTTCTTTACTATTGCTGCTGTCCTTTGTGTGATACAATGTTGCCTGTTTTTTTTCTTCACAGTTGTAGCATTGTCAAACAGATGAATGATGAAACCACACACACAAACAAGCAATATCAGTCACTGTGTAAGATTATGCCTCAAAGATTCAGCTCTAGGGTAGGGCTTTATTTCTAGGACGCCAGGACTGTGGTTGATGATTCCCACTAGCAGTTTCTCAATATACCCTCGTAGCTGCTCATTCTCTTCCTGCAAACTCTTGTTTCGATCCTTTAGTTCTGAAGATCAATAATGACGATAGAATGCTACATACAGCGTGTTAAGGACACAATACCTCGGAGCTGCTGCCTGTGTGACACAAGTTCTGCCTTCGTTGTTGAGTCATGAGTCTCTGCATCACATTAACTAATAGTGGAGGTGCTGCCTAACAGTAACATGTTGTTATACCGTGCTTGGCTTTCCTGATTCTTTCTGTAGCTTCAAACTCATCTGCAGTGAACGAGAAATTGATCCAAGACACACCAGCTCCACCAGTACGTGTCTGGACCACAACAGGCCCACTGCCTGGTGCAGCTCGAGACCCAGTCATCACAGCTAGCTTGGCTGCAGAGAAATGACACAAGCTGGCTGGCAAGTTGGACCATCTCAGGTGAAAAGAGCTCACAGGGAGAAAAATAATCCAGAGAACTGGTGCAATCCACACCAGCCACCAACACTTGAACTACATCTTCTCTGGACTCTCCCAGGTAGCTACCCCTCAGGACAACTCGCTGACCACCTTGCATTGGTCCTGTGTTAGGACTGACCCCAGTAACTTCTGGCACCATCCCCTCCTCCTTCAAAGATATTAACAGTCAATTCTTCCGTAGCCATACATACAGCATTACACACCTTTTCTGCCTCCGGCTCTGTGTCAGAATGTGGACCTGCCTCCCGGATATCACTATTGGCACAACTCCCTGTTGTCTTCCTGGTGCCTCTAGACTCCTCTCCATTGCTACTGACCCAGCAGCTGAGCTGCAGACTGCCATGCGCCTCACTTGCTCTCTTGTGGGGTTGCAGAGGCAGCCAGAACTTGTTACGCGATTTCCCCAGCCCCAATAATGGGACAGTGACGGAGCCAAGAGTATGCTCCTTGTCCTTCACCTTGAACCTTATAGGTTCATTATAGTGGCCAGATACACACCTGCCCAAAGAATAACACAAAAGACAAAGATTGTATGACTGAGCTACTTACAATGAGACTTCCTGGTTCCACTCTGGACCACAGCTCTCGACAACTTCAGTGGTGTAGAAGTCCTTCCCGTGTCCAAACACTACAGATGCATGGCACACATCTGTGGGAGCCACGTAGTCATTTTACATGCACTACGAGCTCTTCATAAATTTACCGCCTTTCTTATGGGCTTGCAGGTCCTTGGCAGAGTAGACTATATATAATCACGAGTCGTCACATAGCGTTAGCGTTGCTACTTTACAAGCATACCTATAATAGTCACCTCCAGAGGCGGCCTCCCTTCGTCCATTACGCCACCGCAGACTATATAGACAAGACACACCGTACGTTTTGCGCATGCGCAGTTCGCTATTGGCAAAATAACATCACGAAGCGATGGAAACCACTGGAAGAGGGGAGTGGATTTTGAGGAAGCCTTTACTTCCATCTGGTCCCCATGGCTGTCGAATTAGCCGAGATTCCTGCAGGTTTCTATGAGAGCGTGTGAGAACTTGGTCGCTAGGGAATTTCCTGATAGGCTCTGGACTGAGCCTTGGGCTCCTTGATCTGCTGACACTGCAACTGGAGTCTGACAGGTAGGCCTTCTCCTGCTTGTCAGGGGAAAGAAACCTCCGCCCACTGGCAGGACTGCCTTTGTTCCTCTTCCTGTTCACTGTGTCCCCACAATTCCTGTGGCCTGGAGACCTTGAGGGCGACAGGAAATCTGGCTTTCTACCCTCTCTTGTCTTGTCCTCTGCACTCTCCTTTCTGCTCAGCAAAGCCACAGACACTTGGTCCCTCCAGCTCTGTTGAGAAGCGAACCTTTTGCAGGCCTGTCGGGCCCCATCCAGACTCTCAAACTCCACCAAAATGCACAGTTCCTTACCAATAGCTGCATGTCTCTTTCGACTTGGCTTCACATCCATTGGAACAGCTGAGCCTGGAGAGATGATGCGCACTAGTGTCACCTCCCCATATTTGCTGAATTCTGTTTCGATTTCTTCAGCTTGTGGCTGGGTGTCAGGGTAGTTTTGTACTATAACAGTCCGATATGTGTGGGAGTAGTCAATCTCAGGTACAGCAGCTTTTCTACGCACTTTATTGCGCTCACTGTTGAGCTCCAACTGAGAAGAATGCAACAGGCTTGCCTGCACAACCCTCCAATCCTTTGTTATGGACTTAACTTTCCTGAATGATGCCACTAGCTTCAAACTCACAAGCCCCTGCTTATTGCGGTGAATGTGTTTCATCAGAAATGTGTCTTTCAACAGATTCTCATCACTGAAGTACCACTCCACTTGCTCAATTATCCTCTGCTGAAGTTCAGCTGGGACTGCCACTGGGCTTTCTGCATGCATGCAACACAATTCACGCTAGGTAGTACATAGTCACGCACTCACGTACCGTCGTCGGCAGATTCTTCTTTCGGCGGAGTCGCAGGTCGCTCGTCGTCAGCAAATTCACCTGGAGTAACGTAGCCTCCTTCATCAGACTCAGAGTCTCTCGTTTCCCCCCCTCCTTCCATGATCCATGTGCGCGTGCAAGCTGACAGGAAGCTGCAAACCGCGCGCGTGTGTACGTATAATAAAAAATAAAAAATAAATTTAAAAAAAACAAAAAATAAACGTATATCCGCGCGCGTACACGTGTGTACGTGTGTGTGTGTGTGTGTGTGTGCGTAATAGATCAGGATCCTTACCTGCGGCCTACAAGAAACACGAGGACATCAAGAAACGGGCTTATGGCCAACGTGTTCGGGATGTGGAGTGCGGGGTCTTCACACCTCTTGTGTTCTCCACCACTGGGGGGATGGGACGAGAAGCCACAACCTTCTGGCGGACATGCTCGCCCGGAAACAACAGATGCCATACCCCGTTGTCATCAGTTGGCTAAGGTGCAAGCTATCCTTTGCCGCTGTCCGATCATCCATCATGTGCATCCGCGGGACTAGATCGTCCATCAACAGACCATTACGGGACGCTGACATTACCCTCGCAACATCCGAGGGCGGCATCCCTCAGGATGAATAGAACTTTTCCTCATGTTTTTCATTCACCCACTCATTCCCCTTATTTTCACCCTTCCTTGTAACTGACTTGTTTTTATCATGATGCGTTTTATAGTGTGTGTGTACGTCCTTATTATGTATCATTTCATCTTTAAAAAAAATAGTGTAGGACGTCGTACGCATGCGCGCGCGCACGGCTGTACGGCGGCGCGCGCCTATAGGGGGTGTGTGCATAATATATATGTGCGTGTGGTACATGGTTTGGGCGCAGCGCATGTGTACGATCGATGGAGTATCTGCAGAGAGAGAAGAAACACCTCAAACACATGCTAAGAACCACCGAGGAACGTCTTCAGAAATTACGCTCTGTGAAAAGACACCGCACCAAGGTAGGCCTTCACAGCTAACATTTTGCTGGGCTAGGGCAAGGTAATGTATGCACACCATTCACACTCACTAGGCCAGCATAGATGAGTTAGCAGCTCTGGCTGGGAAGTGGCGCAGTGTCGCTCAGAGTGTCTCAGAGCAACTACTGGAATCAAGTAATTTACACCCTCGACCGTCACTACATGATCTACTGACTGCTTTACATATTGATCCGTCACTGGTTCATTACTGCGTTGTACATGAAAACTTTTATTGACATTTCATAGCTACTCTCATATCCCCTGCATGCATGCTCTAGGGGGCCGGCCGTAGCGCGTGCGCGGACACGATGCGGTGCGCAGGCGCGCGGGAGAGAGTGATGCGCCGCCCCACGCGCACGCCCACACACACACGGTCGTCATGTCGTGTGCCGGTGCCTTCTGGTCTTCGCTATGGGGGAAGAACGTTACTGTAAACGGCGAGACCTACCGTGTCGTGCGAAGGATAGGGGAAGGAGGTAAGTGAGCATGTGTTTTTCAAAAACTAAGTTTTTCTCGTGTGGCAGGGTTCTCTTACGTGGAGTTAGTACACAGACAGGGCCACCATTATGCGATGGTGAGGACTGTGTGTGGTTGAAATCCGCTGTACTGTCTCTCTCTTCTAGAAACACATGCTCCTCCAAGTTGCAGAGCAGAAAACAGCTGTGGAGGCCGAGATCCAAGCCCACTCGATGGTGCACCACCGGAATGTGGTGCAACTGATATGCTCTGAAATTCGAGGCAATGCAGATGGCACTTCTACTGCCTTCCTACTCTTTCCGTACTACCGTGTGAGTAACTCCTCGGCACAGCATAGAGGTGGGGCAAGCATGCTTCTTGCTCAGGGTGGTACTCTGCAAGACCTCATTGACAGAAGTGGGCAGGCCCTCCCTCAGGCAAGGCTGCTGCAGCTCATGGTTTCTGTGTGCAGAGGTCTGCATGCCATGCACCTCAGCTCTCTGGCACACAGGGATGTGAAGGTAGCAATACTGTTCGTGGCATATGGTATTAAACTGAGTCTTCTCAAGCCTGCCAACCTAGTGCTGGCCGACTCCCTTGACGAACTGGTGCTGATGGACTTGGGCAGTGCAGCACGTGCTTCAGTGAATGTGTCCAGCAGGTCAGTCACACATTATTACGTACTTTAACACACTGGTCCATTTCCACAGGCAAGAAGCGCTGGCATTACAGGAGACATGTGCCCAGACCTGCACTGCTCAGTACAGGTAGAGCATTAGTCCCCAGACACCACTCACTCACGAAACCACCCTCCCACAGGGCACCTGAACTATTTGAGGTTCCCTCCTCTGGGACTATTACTGCCTCCTCTGATGTGTGGTCTCTCGGATGTTGCATATATGCTGCTGCATTTGGACACAGTCCTTTTGATGGCTCAGCACTGGCTGCCATGAGTGGAAGGTTGTCTTTCCCAAGAGATCAGTGAGTGTGCCATGCATATATAGGCTGACTCAGAAACTCTAATTTCCCCTCACAGCTCTCATAGCAAGGAGTTGTGTGACTGTATCCAGTGGGTACTAAAGGTTGAACCAAGTCACAGACCATCGGTGGCACAGATACAGGACAAATTGTGTCAAATCTTACAAACTTCATCGTAACAGTCACCTCTACATTTTGACAACAGTCACAGTCCATCATTGTCCATTTCTCTGTTTTTCAAGGGAGGTAGTCTACATGGGAGGAGCAAAACTAGTCTAATAAAACGCAGAGAAAAGACTGGGCCTTACGAATTGTCCACCAGTTCTACAACGGCCATCTTTGCATTGTCTCCAACCCTGTTTGGAATGTGGAGCAGTCGTGTGTAGCCACCAGCTCTGCCTTCATATCGCAGACTCAGTTCACCAAACAGCTTTGGCACCAACGAATGCTCCTGCAACCATCACAATCACAACCATGCATGTTAGGTATATTATATTCCTACCCTCATCCAGCACTCTGCCTCGGCCCTGGAACCTGGCGTGTTTCTCTTTCCTAGTGTGATCATCTGGCACACACGAGAAGCTTGTACTTCAGGAACAGAAATCCTCAGCTTACCTTATCTCCGACACGCCTCAGCTCCTTGGCTTTGGCGAGAGTAGTTACTATTCTTTCATGCTTTATTAGAGCTGTGGCCAGGTTCTTCAGCAGAGCCCGACGATGCACTGTGTCTCTCCCAAGCCGCCTGAACTTCCAGCCGTGCCTCATATCTTGCGCTTACTCTAAGCGCGCCCACGTGCAAGTGTGAGCCGGGAGATGTTGATGTCGGTCTTGTCTAAGCGAGTGGGGAGGTCGTCTGTACGAGTCCCTATAAGCAGCTCGACTAGCAGGAGAGGCAGGTCAAGCGACGTCGTCCAAGGAGAAAGGAAATGTCGGTGAGTTAGTGAAAAAAAACTCCCTCTAGTGCTACACATACCACTGTCCTATTGTAGTTCAGAACGAATTTACAATGTGGGGTTCATAGCCCACATTGATGCTGGTAAAACGACTACCACAGAGAGGATGCTGTACTTTGCAGGTCTCACTTCACGTGTTGGTAGTAGGTCCTCCCTATGAAATGCCAAGTTTGTGTCAAAAACTATATTTCGAAGTCCTCTAGCTAAATACCGGATGTCGCAAAACATGGAAGGGATTGTGTGATGGGGTTGGGGGTGTCAGCGTGCTCAAATCTGTTCATTAACCATGCTTCATGTATGCCATCCCTGTCTTGTCTCCCTTTCTTTTTATACCATCCCTATATGCCTCTTTTTTATATTCACAGGATTTTTAATTTACTTGTACTAAGTACTACTGTACTTAGTGATATTTGCTGGCAATATTTCGCTCTCTTGCCTCGATTTTGTCGGTCGGGGTTCACTATATTACACAACGAACATCGATATATATTTATAAACATCGAATTCGAAGTTAGTTTTGGCACAAACGGCACTTCATACCTCCCTGCCTCGTCCGTGCACTCTATAGTATGTATGTGTCTCCAGATGTTGATAGTGGGAACACGGTTATGGACTACCTTCCTCCAGAGAGGGAGAGGGGCATCACGATATCCAGTGCTGCTATCTCTCTCCCCTGGTCTGGGTGTACCTTGAATTTGATAGACACCCCAGGCCATGCCGACTTCACCTTTGAGGTGGAGAGGACCTTGCCGGTGCTGGATGGTGCAGTTGTCTTACTTGATGCTTCTTCAGGAGTGGAGGTGACAAGGCTGGATCGGTTGACTGGTCAAAAACCATGTGTATGTTCTTTGTTTTAAGGCTCAGACTGTGGCAGTGTGGCGTCAGGCTAAGTCGTGCAAGATACCCTGTGTCGCTTTTGTGAACAAGATGGATAGCTCCCGAGCCAAGTGAGGAGATTTTGAGCCTAATTTCCTTCTACTTGAACCATTATAGTCTGCAGAGCACTGTAGAGTCAATGGAACAGCAGCTAGGAGTACAGCCAGTGCTGACGCAGCTTCCTGTGGGGGATGGGAGGGATTTCCAGGGTGTGGTGGACCTGCTCCATATGCATGCCCTCATGTGGCCACAAGAAACGGAAGGAACCTCTTACTTTCGTGTCCTACTTGAAAATCTTCCTCAAGACACTAAAAAACTAGCTCACCACTACCGAGAGCAGCTACTAGAACAGGTGAGGAATGCTGGACTTGACTTTGCTCTAGGGGACCCCTGTAAGGTGTGTGCAGGTGGCAATGGAGGATGATGAGTTGGCCAGTGTGTTACTGGGCAGTGGCTCTGTGAGCCTTGGTCCGGAGGAGCTTTCTCGGGCTCTACGGAGGAGCTGTGCTTCTGGAGCCATAGTTCCGGTGCTCTGTGGCAGTGCTCTGAGAGGTGTAGCCATCCAACCTCTGATGGATGCTGCCATTAACTACCTCCCACCTGCCAGTAAACTGAGCTCAAGGATGTATGATATTGCATGTGTGATGATAATATGTGTCAGTTTCCCTTCTCCAGTCCAGTGGTGGCTCGTGGACTTTGTGCTTATGCCTTCAAACAAGTGTACGACTCTCACCGAGGCCTACTAGCCTATGTCCGAGTGCTCTCAGGCTCTCTCAAGTCCCACACATCCGTCTACAATCTCTCTACCAAAAGCAGGTTTCTGGACTGCACGCTATCTCTGCATGCAGTCATACGGTGTGGTGTCTTCCAGGGAAAAAGTGACCAGGGTTCTCATGGCACAAGCTGACCGACTACAAGACGTGAAGGAAGCAGGGGAGGGAAGGATTGCAGTGCTTGTGGGGCTCAAAAATGTGAGTTGCTGGCAGTATCATCCAGTTTTGGTCCGGCACCTGCAAACTCATGCAGACCTTTACTGGAGACACTCTAGTGCAGTCAACAGCAGTGGCCAAATCCTTGGAGGAAGAGGGTGTGGTCTCCCTGTTAACTCCACCCACTGTACCTCCACCAGTGTTCCTCTGCACTGTGGAGCCATCGTCTTCAGCCAACCAGAAGAGTAAGTGGACACAATCAACCACGTGCAGACCGTGATGTGGGGTTTGGCAGATTTGGAGGAAGCACTGCTGATCTTGTCGCGAGAGGACCCGAGTCTTCGAGTGACATTTGACTCTGACACTGGTCAGGTAGGCTCCCGTTGTCTCCTCTGACAACACAGCACCAGATGTTCTTCCTTCAGACGGTTTTGTCTGGGATGGGTGAGCTCCATTTGGAGGTAGTTGAGGAGCGACTGAAGAGGGTGTATGGTGTTGAGTGTGAGCTGGGGCCGTTGCAGGTGGCCTACCGAGAGAGTCTGCTGCGGGAGACATTTGCAACTGGTGGGGCTGCTGTGTCTTTAGTAAGCTGGTTCATGATTATTTCCACATTAGCTGCTCTGGACCGAGCCATTGGATCGTCAAAGCACTCTGTGTTTGCAAGAGTAGGGCTGTATCCCCGAGAGCCTGGGAATGGTGTGAGTGTGAGCTTTGGGTCGGAGGTGAAGCTGGAGAAGAGCATGACACAGGTCCTGAGCTCAGCAGTGGAGACTAGTCTCACTCGAGGTGGGCAGTGGACCAACACCCCATCCTTACCCCACCCTCTTCTCCCCCAGGCCCTCTGCTGGGGTTCCCCATGGAAGGTGTCTCTGTGTGTGTGGAGGAGCTGACTGGTGATGGAGTGGCTCCTCTGCCTCTCCTCTCAGCCTGTCTGGCCCAGGCAGTCCAGAAGGTTAGACTGTCCCAAAAGTTTGGATTGTAAAGAATTGTCGGAGCAGGCACTGGAAGTGGCAGAGATTGGGCTGCTAGAGCCACTGACACAACTAGAGGTATGGCAGGGGGTACAAGTGAAAGTGTGTGTGTGTGTGTCTTGTGGTGTGTGCAGGTCGTAGTACCAGAGGAGTTGGTTGGAGTAGTTCTTTCAGATCTGACATCCACGAGAAGGGCTCAGGTGCAGTGTTTGTCTGAGGGTGTGGGTGGTGAGAGAACAGTACTGGCCCAAGTCCCTCTCACAACACTCCTTGTAAGTGGACCAGCACACTCTGCCCAGTATAATTGACAACCCACAGGGCTATGCCAAAGACCTGCGCAGTATGACTAGTGGTTCTGCCAGTTTCACTATGTTGTCTGCTGGTCATCTACAAATGGACAACCACCAACAGAACGCTGTAGTTAAACAGATACGAGGCTATTAACCAGTGTCTATAGCTACTATCCGTTTGAAACTGAAAACTGATTGGAAGACATGAATATCAAAAGAAGTGGAATGAAGTGGTGGGTGTGAACAAACTACTAATATTGAAGATGAAAAATAGTGAGTAAGCTGTTTGGTGGACTGTACAGGAAGTGACTCACAAAACAAAAGAAAAGCTGTGTACAAAAAAGTAATCTGTGTAAAAAAGTAAGAAACAAAAACAGCAATGTGTGTGGTGCCAGTGGAATGGGACAGTCTCAGAATGAGAATGCATTTGGTTGAGATGTGACGCTGGTGTAGACAGTGTTGTGGGCCTCAGTTGTCTGTGGAGAGATCACATGAACCACATATGTCACATGACTGGTACAGAAAGTTCACGTGACTGACCATGGGTGAAGAAAACTCTGCCTCAAAAGGGCCCAGGTTCTCAGGAGGGGAGCCCCAGGCAGACATGTTCTGGTGGTAGGCAATGGGTGACACTGCAGGTCTGCTGCCTGCCTCATACGAGGCAGGGGGGTACTGGAACGCTGCCATGGCTGCCGCTGACTGGGGAGAAATCTGGCCCAGGGAATCAGGGGTGGGCGGAGCTTGGGGGGTCAAAGGTGGGATCTGTACCTGCAGCCCACACTACATCAATACTTTGTTAGTCTCCTTGGAAACAAACCTTTCCCTGAGCCAGGGGTTGTGTGGCGGTCTGAGCCTGCCTGGCAAGAGCCTCTGCTTGAATGGCTTTCTTCTTGTCCTTGCACCTCTTGTTCTGGAACCACACTCGAATGACTCGTGAACTGAGCCCTGTCAGCTCCACCAGGTGCTCCTTTAGGAGGGCGTCTGGTCTGGGGTTACTGGCATACACAGTCCTGAGAGTCTGGAGCTGCTGCTCTGAGAGCACAGTCCTCACACGAGGTCCTTTGTCAGCCACACTGCCCCTCTTCCTGGGGCCTGTTGACACCGCATCTGGGCCAGGGCACCGGCTGTTAGCATTACTTGATTCTGGGAAGAAGAGTGGGAGGGGAGGGGAGGAGAGGGAGGGAACGCAAACTGAGAGTCACTGAAAAAGCATCGCTATCAACCCAAGACCTGAAAACATACACAAATGTAGTCCCCGAGTGCAAACACCACTGACGTACATACCTGGTGCAGTGCAGGTAGAGGGTGGATCAAGAGGCAGAGAGTCAAAGTGTTTGTGGCAGAAGAGCTTTCCTGAGCTGACAGCGTACTGCTCTCCGGGCTGGAGTCGATGCTCACAGGCAGAACACTGGAAGCACTCCAAATGGAACACCTGAACACAAATTGCCTTGTCACACAAACAGCAAAAATGAGGTCGTTATCTGGCGACCTGTGACTTGGCTCGCATGATGAGGTCCGAGGCACCAATGTTACAGTGGCAGAGGGCACACACACACCCAAACAGCCTGTGTGTCAAGACGAAGGAGGGAAGCTGTGAACAAGTCTCAGGTTTGCAAATAGTCTGCTGAGTTTACAGGTACACTAGCAATGAGCCAAGTTGGCAGTAACCATGACAACCAGGCATGTGCATATAGTGCAGTGAGTCAAGGTCTGGAGGGGAAAGAAACGCCAGCAGCTCACCGTATGTAGTCAGTTCGGCAGTAAGGGCGGCCGTCTCTGATGATACAAGTGTCCCTCTCAGTCATTGGGGAATGACACTCACTACACAGGAGACAGGCCACATGCCAGTGGAGGTCAGGGGCCACGTAGAGCCGATAGTCATCATCTATGTTCTGCTGGCATCCATGACACACCTGTGGGCTAACATTCATTGGAGCATCTGTGGAGAAGAGACCTCAGTTAGAGAATGGGTGGGTGGGTAGAGAGGTTCAGGTCATGTGGCTGTAGCACGGCCGGCCCACTGCTCCGCTAACAGGCAACCGTGTCCTCTACACGCCCGTAATGCCGTCGGATACACTAATCACGTTGTCACCTCGGTTCCTACAACACACAATTCCACTGCTGGACTTTCGAGACAGAATTGGATCAACAAAAAGAGCTGCTGAGCTTCGCTGTCTTCCCTCGCGCATGGAAACCATGACTGTGCTTGTAAACACGCCAAAATGACGGGAACTCACCCGCAGACTGCTTGCAATTGGCGTTCTTGTTCTCCATAGAGGTACGGAGCCCGACACAAGTGAAGGCTCTTGAGGTAGGTCCTGGACGCAGCCTTAGACCCTCGTCCAGCAGCAGGAGATGAAGGGAATTCGAAACGGTGTCCGAACTGCCCCGCTTCACCTGTTTTATGCGGACTAGCGCACGCTCGAACCCAATGTAAATGTGCGCATGCGCGTAAAAATTGCCATTATACACAATACAAGAGATTGTGGTTGTCATTGTGAGAAGAAATCAAGAGCTTCTTGCCAGCAGGACTGGGGGAAACGGTAAACGAAATCCAGAAGATTTCGGGAACCTGCACACATAGGGTGAACTGAACCCATTAGTACAGTGCTGACTGTGCATTATACCAGGACTTGTAGGTGGCTTGAGAGTGTGTGAGAGGTGAGAGGAGAGGAAGGAAGCCAGGAGCTGGCAGGAGATCTCCAGACTCAGAATGGCTCTGTTCTCAGGAGACCGGTAGCAAGCACTGATGAGAGTTGGGAACAGCAGGGCACACAGTCTGGAAGTAGGGGGAATTAGACAGTGCGTTCCAGGCCAGGTACTATACTAAGAAGACTGACCCAGGGTTACTGAAATACTCAAATGGAAGAGCACAGAGGACCTGAAGTAGAGTGGGACTGCGGCCTGACTGCAGGAATACCTGGAGACAGAGTACATGCACAGTCCACTGATGAACAGGCTGTGCTAATGGAAGGCGACAGAAGGCAAGAGGCAGCTACACATGGTCACATCACAACAGCTTTTAGTTCTGAAGACCAGCAAGAACTGGTGAACATTGGACTCTTTGTTCCACAAGTGGGCAGTTTGTAAAACACAACTCCAATTTGACCCAAAGAAAAAGGAAGTGTCGAAGTCTTATGAATATGTGTATATACCTGGTTGTCGGGATTGAGAACAGAGAAATAGCCAACTGCTAGGATCAGCTCTTGTAGCAGATCACTGTGACCATGGTATGAACAGCGCCTGGTGTGTTTGTGTGTGCATGTATGGAAAGTGAAACCTACTCTTTGAACTGAAGACAGCAATAGAAAGTGATGATGTCATGAACTCTGTCCTTATGGGATTCCTAACATGCCAGTGGGTAACCCTCACCACATGAGGTAGCTGGAGACATGTCTCAACTCCAGAGACACACCCTCTGCTCCAAGACAACTCTGGTGTGTAGAGACAGAGTTGGTGAGGAGTAGCTGAGAAAAGTGAGCCTTGCCTGAACCATATGTAGGTCGAGGATAGCAAAGTTGTTTATGGCTCTGAGGGAGGCAGTGGAAATGGAGAGTGTGTGAGGAGGGAGGGGGGGAGGGGAGGACGAGTGCCGAGGTGGCCCATCGTGAAGCAGCATGGCGTAGAGCATTCTCAGAAGGCCCACCAGCTCTGTCTCCCGCAGAGCAGACGTCAGAGAAGTTGGGTCATCTTTCTTCTCACTGAAGACATCATCCACCCTGTGGGCAGAGAGGGTAGAACAGAGAGGGGAGGGTAGAACAGAGAGAGGAGAAAGGGCTAAAACCTGGTGTGAAGAGCTGCACTGGCCGCCACTAAAAGATTGACAGCTGAGATGACTAACTGACACTGTGCAGGCTCAGTCAGAGGCCCCAGGACAGTGCCCAATCTCTGGGAGATGGAGCTGATGATTCCAACACTCACCAGGTAGCTGGAGGAAATACACAGGTGCTTAGGATGTGTGCCAAGAGAACAATTGGCAGCCGCCACATCACAGAACAACCGGTCACCTGACAGAGTCCATTAGCTCAGGGAAGATGGAGTGGGGAGGGGGGGAAAGAGAGACAGTGCTGATGATACCAGCTAGCAGGGAGAGGAGAGATGAGCACAGCTCCAGTTGCTCTGGGGATTGCTGGGGCAGCAGGGGAGACAGAAGGTCCACCAGCACAGAGAGCAAGTTAGCAGCGAGCATGTAACCACAGATGTGAGGCTGGCTGGCACAGGCCAACTGCAGCACAGTAACACCAGTCAGCTGTGACCTGCACAGGGGGAGTGTGCACATGTAATCCCTGGGCCTCAGAACCCAAGCATTCAGTGGTCAAATGGAGTTGTTTGGCAGTAGGGCTGCCTGACTGATATGTGGTCTCTGACAGATGAGGTCCGATTAGGAACTGGGCCAACAGCAGCTGCTGCCATGGCAACCCATTAACATTAGGGCAGATTACTTGGTAGGAAGTTTGCTGGCAGTTTCAGTGTAAGCACCCAGGAGAGTGGTCACTGCTGACACTCCCCCGAGTTCTTGGAAACACAGTTGATCATCTTTAGTCTGTAAGAGAGGGAGAGAGCATTTGGAGAGGGAAAACCCAAGACCCAGCTGACCTTGCCACCCAAGATCCTGGCTACATCACTGAGTGTGCGGTCCAACTGCTGCAGCCCAGTCTTGTCCAGGCCTGTCTTCCCCGAGGCTCTCTCCAGCAACCGAGACAGCTCCTTCACACCCCTCTGGAGTCTACAGAGGATAAGACTCCTACCTTTCCCCGGCCACCAGAGTCACAGCTCACCTCAGTCTGTGTTCGGAGTTACACCCACCTCCCACACCCCTCCATTCTCCTTCCCTCTCTCTCCACCTGACCACACACACATAGTTCATGAATTAAATTAACAAACTGACTCAGAAAACAAGCAATGTTTGTGCCTATAAATTTCTCACAGGTACTAATCATGCATACAAATGGTAATGTAATAATAGTACAGTATTGTACCTTCCCCTCTCAACTATTGGGTGTTTACTGGTGGATAAGAACATGCATACTTGATCGTGAAGTCCTCGGTTTGATCCTAGTCTGGGTAGCTTTATATATATATTTTTTATAATGATGTAATAATAAGTGTTTTAGTAGTTTCCTCGCAAAGTTGGGCTCGGCATAAGAGGCTGACCTTGCTGCCATTCTCTGTCTCAGTTTCCTGGTTCTCCTGCGACCAGAACGGAGCTGATCCTGTGCGACTTTTGACTCCAGCTCCCCAGCTGTGTTCTCCTCGTCAAGGGTGATGATGAGAGGGGCATGGTCATCAGGGAGACGAGCTACAGCCTCCTGGTGCCTGCGTCCTCGCTCATGGCTTTGCAGGTACACATCTGACACAATCTGGACGGAGAGAGAGAAAAACACAACTACACTTATATGGGTAACGCGTTGCTCGCTAAGGTAATATTAAAAAATCTGATATGAAACGGAACATGGCCCACAAAATTTCAGAATGCTCATCCAACTCTGAAAGTTCCTCGCTAAGTGTCCCCTGCAGCATAAAACCAACCGGGACACTGCAGAGGGTGCACCACTTGCAGCGAGGGTAGGGGACAACACAGGGAGCCTCTTCACAGGAGGTGTGTCGCGAACCAGCTGCCTGCAGAGAGCTGAGAGTGGGAGCAACAGACGACACTGCCAAGCAAACCTTCTCCTTGATGTGCTCCAACTGCTGGTCATGTCTGCGAGATGACTCGTCTTGCTGGGGGTGTGGTGCAGTCACATGACAGAGTGGTGAGGTCATGTGATTAAGGGTTGAAGTCACATGCCGATACCTTAGTTTGGATCTTCTTCTCTAGTTGGACAGTGGAGAGCTGCAGAGCAGTGTTCCTGGCCTCCAGTCGCCGCTCTCTCTCTCTGTCAAATACGTTCCGTGCCGCTTTCAGTCCGCCAAAAAACAGTTGCCTACCGAGCCTTCTCCTGGGCAGCCTCTTCTCGCACTCGCTCTCTTTCCTGCTTCATCTGCTCAATCTTTGCCACCTGCAGTCCAAGACAAACACTATACATCTCCAGGTCTCTGGCTCTCGGCCGCAGTACCTGGTCTCTTCTTCTCTCATCCAAGTCCCGGAATTTGGCCCTGCGCTCCTCCTCCAGTACGCGTCTTCGCTCCTGCGCAGCCTCTTCCCGTGCCACCACCTCTTCCCTGCGACGAGCCCTCTCCTCTGCCATGTCAGCCAGTCTGGCTTTGTGGTCCTGCCCACCTGCCCTCACAACACATCAACCACAGGACAAGAGGTCTTACCTGGTGCCTCCGCAGGACCTGGATCTTCCTGTTCTGAGCCTCCAGACTGTTGATGAAGGCTATCTCACTCACCTGCCAACAGAGAAAGAGGGAATAGAACCCAACACACACACACACACACCTTGGCATCCTCATCTTGTGCCTTCCTTCTCTTTTCCTGCAGATGACTCTCCCGCAACTGCTCCGCTTTCTGCAGTTTCTCCTCCATCCCTTCCCGCCACGCCCTCGTCTTGGACTCCCTTACCTCTCTGGCCTCCCTCACTTTCTCCTGCTCTGCCTTTGAGCGCAGTTTCTGTTCTTCTACCAGCCGATCTCGGGCTTGCTGGGCTCGTACCTGCCACACCCTCATAGTGTGTTAGTCTCCCGGCCTGGCAGGGACCTCTCACCTGCCTCTCTTCCAGCATCCTCTTGGACTCCTCGATTGGTCTGCATGCAGAGAGATGAACACTAGAAAAGATGGACTATTCCAAACCTCTTCCTGGAGGGAGAGGAGAGGCGCTGATGGAGGGTGATGGCTCTGCCGGGGGACCTCGGAGTGTCCGCCAGAACCACTGGCCCTTCCTCCAGAGGAGGAGACTCACAACGATCAGCCCACGACACTCGGTGACGACCTTCGTCCTCTGTGGAGACACTGCTTTCACTAAGACTCTCCCCAGTCAGACTTACCATTGTACTCCCTCAGTAACTGGTTCCAGCTTCCCTGGAGACCAAATACTGCCTGACATAAACACACACCATTCCCACTCACGTCTGATTCCTCTTCTTCATCTCCTGTATGCAGGTTACTCTCTCCTTCCCCACCTCCTTGCAGCTCATTTCTGCAACTCTCATCTCCTCTGTCTTCACACATAACAGAGTCATTTTCCTTCTCCCTATCCCTGCTCAACTTATCCTCATCCCTTGCCTCCTCTTCTCCCCCCACACCCATTTCCACACTAACAGTCTTTCCCCTCACTCGGTCAGCCCATGTCAGACCAGCCTCGAGATTCCTGACCACACCCCCACTGACCCTCCCTCCAGAGGATGATTTGGATGGAGACAGAGACTTCCGTACCTCCCATGCCACTCCTGGTGGCCTGCACACACAGCAAAAACTCTTACACACCCTCAAAAAAGAGACGTGATATAGGGCAAAAGACAGGGGTTAGGTCACTGGTTATTGGTAAGCAAACAAAGAGGAATAAACGAGTGGTTAGCAGTGTTAGACAGGGAGAAGAGAAACCCACCGATGCTCTGGACATGTCTCGAGCCGTCTTTCCATCTCAATTCTCTCTATGAGGGCAGAGAAATCCTTGTGGCAGGCATCCAGTGTCATCATCACCTCCTGCAGCAAGCACACAGTGAGCCCTCCTTCATGCACCCAACCCCTCACCTGACACTCTATCGCCGAGCCATCCATTTCACATGTTCTGTACAGTTCGTCCACTGCTCTGAACAGGTTGTCAAAGAGATACCTCCAGTAACGAGCCTGCACATCCGCCTTGCTGCTGCTACTACCCTCTTTTACTCCCAGTGCAGAGCCCGAGAACTGCTCTGCAGCAGCACGACACATCCTCTCGCTTCTACTCAGCTTTTCTGCATTTCGAACTGGTCGGCGGCGCGCGCCGAATTTCCTGCGTCGTCCGCGACTACCAGCTGATGTTGAGTTCACAGTTTGCTCTGAATACACAACAGGAACCGACCAGGTCACTAGGTTCCTGGCCGACTTTCCTTCCTTCTTTACGAGCTGCTGAAGTCGCTCAAAAGAGTTCTGAGTCTCCAGCGAAGGACTCTTCGTGCTACGCATGTTTTCCTAATTGATGCGCACCACGCTGTATTCTATTTGACGCTCACCCACGTGTGCTTCACGAACCGAGTTGTGACACAGAAATGAGGCTAAGAGGAGTTGGAGTGTTGCTAAACCGACCTCAGCGACGAGAGTACAGTTATATTCATGTACCTAAGAAGAGACAGCCTCATTTGCTTGGCTTTGGAAGTGACTGGCGGAAATGTTTCGTGGTTCACCCGCACTCACAGACGCAGCGGCCTCTGGAGGACTACAGGTGGCTGACTGGTAGTGTCTTGAAGGAAGGTCTCCCACCCCGCCTGCCTCCTGTGAAGACTGAAGCTGAAGAATTGAATCTGTTCGAAGAGAGACTGGCGGCGGCAGTTAGCGAGCAAGGTCCCAAGGGAAAGAGGGGCGTGGCTAAACTGCGTAATGTTCTCTCCAGTGCTCTTATGGGATTGTGGATGAGTGGAGCTGATCATCTTAGGACGGCTAGTTTGACACATGAACCCAGAGTTGAGAGCTTCTGGCGATGTGATGGAAACAATTTCCTCTGTGTTACAAACCCCCTCTTCATCCTTCACTCCACGCAGCCACTAACCCTGTTCTCAGACCCCATCCACTGCTACGAACCTCTCCACTCCGTGGCGAGCAACCCTCGTCATATTGGACTGTTCCAACGCAGTTTCGATCAGATCACTCCTTTTACTGGCTGCCAAAGGTTTTCACCAACTGGCTTCACACACACAGTTTTTTCTGCCAACCTTCAAACCCGAAATCAGGAGCAGACCGTTGCTCATGGTCTCATGCAGCTGTTCAGCCTCAGCTCGGCTGAATGTGTTCAGAATGGCTACCCTCTGGACACGGACCTTGTCCACCCTCTCTCTCTGCAGGCTGTGGTCGCCTCTGGCTTGGAACTCACTTTCCTTGCTTTCCAACTCAACACTCTGTCTATAAAGAGTTGGGAGAGGGGAAGAAGGAATGTATTGTGGGTCGGCCCTACATTAGAGCTCTTCTCCGAGGGACATGTCAACAGAGAATGCTCTGAGCTTATGTGGCAGTTCCTCATGCATGCTCCAGACAGGAAGAGGCCTGCCTTGTCTGGCTTCGGACTGAAATCAGCTTCTCCTATATAGCTATATATAGTTAACTATGTATCTTTTGTGTGAAGTTGTATATGAAAAGGTGTGCTGTCAGGGTTTCAAAGTGTCATAGTTTGTAGTTATCTGTGAGGCTTTGGTGCAATCTGATGGCTTCCTGCAAGAGTTGGCCTAACTGGTCGTGGCCTTCCCCCGCCTCTTCCAGTTTCCTGCGACAGGCCACTGTCGCCATGTGCAACTTGTCCTCCAGCTCACTTTCTTTCACTCGCAGCTGCCCATTTTCTTCCTCTAGTTCCTGCGGAAGATGAGCATGAATTGGGCAATCTTTGGTGGGAGTATAGAGGACTCACTGATATCCTGGTCTTCGCATCCACCAGCTGAGCGTTAGTGTCCTTGAGTTGTGAGTCTCTCTGGGCCAGGTCACTCTGCCGGGCCTCCAGGTCCAGCTGGACAGCTGTCAACACTTCTTTCAGTTCCTCCATGTCCCTCTTCAGTCCCTCGTGCTCCTCCTTATCCACTGCCCCTTCCCTCCCAGATTCCAGCTCAGAAACCTGCACACACACAGTATATATAGTACGGGCAAGGAAAGTGGATTCTTTGAAAAACCTTTTGCTTGAGTTGAGTATTCTCGTCTTTGTACTGCTGTAGCCTCTCCTTCCACTCAGCCACATGCTGGTTGCTCTCTTTCAGGGCTGCAGTCAGCTTTGCATTGTTGCTTTTCAGAGTTTTCATCTCTCCCTCCCACTTCTTCACATTCTGAGCACTAAAATTGAGAAAGAAAGGTGGCAAGGTGCTCAACACTACCACACACCTCTTACCTGCTGGCCAGAGCTGACTTTAGTTTGTTGTTCTCGTATCTCAGTGTCTCTAGTTGAGTGTCAGCTGAGCCTCCGTTTCTACTCACTGCTGGGGGAGGCTGCAAAAAAGAAAGAGGCAAATCACAAATTGTTTCCTCAGCCCTCTAACCGCAATTTACATGACTGTTTATACATGCACTTTAATAAAAGAAAAAGAAAAAGGTTTAAGGCCTAGATTTGAACACGTAACCCATGGTTCACTTGCAAAACACTTAGGCTCTAGGTCACGCAGCAAAACAAAATTTTCATGTGGGAAACCTATGTATGGGAATGAAAGCATTCATCCCTGTACCTCAGAACTGCTGGCACTTTTCCTGCCATCTCCATTCATCACTACTGCTTCTTCAACTGTAGCAGCATCTGGAGGAGAGCTGGCCATGGCTTGCTCCGGCTTGCTCTCTGCTGATGAGTTGGAAGTCATCTTTTCCATCTCATCAGTCTTCCTTTTCTTCTTCTCAACAACCTTTCTTGCCGCCTCTTTGGCTTTAGAAAACCACTCCACAAACTGAGTCAGAAACAAAGAAGACCCCAGATATTACTTCATTATGCTCTACCCATTCATATACCTGCTGCAGGTCTTTCTCAGAAGAGAACCCCAGACCATAGACAGTGTTTGCTCTGTGATCAGACCACTGGCCAAACTTGGGACTGGTCTTGGTGAAGTTCATGTTGGCTGTGATGGTGCTGTTTATCAAGGCCTGGAGGGACACACGTCATCAATAATAATATGTGCTAATTCTTGCAAACGTTCAGTTTCAAAGAAGCCTTTCTTCCTTGCTAAAATAGCAGCCAGTGTTACTGTGTTTTGCCACCTCATCCACCAACTGCCACCTGCTCTGTACCTCAAACTGTGTATATAGCTAGTTAGGTGTAAGTGGGGCTGCAGGCGAAGCTACTGAATGCCAATGTTTGGACCATCACTATGCCTACACTCCCACTAAATTGTGTCTTCTGCACATCTTCAGCAGCCCAAAAGGCCTGGCTAGACACACAACAATCCATTCCACCTCCACAATATCGTAGCTCGCACGACTCACACTGACCAAGCTATCTACCACAGCTATTGCTGTATACCTTGCTGTTCTCTATGGCGATTATTCTGTACGTTTTCCTGTTGGGATCGTGGTAGTAGGCCACGCGAATTGAAGCGGTAGACGAAGGCAGCCATCGCTTCTTGGTCTGCTGGTCGATCTGGAACACATGTGCCTTCACTGAGAAGGCCAACTCCTCCCTAGGTGGAAGACGAGGTTGAATAGACAGGAAAAGGATCGGTATACCACCAGATCATGCAACACTACATCCGGGAAAAATATGCTAACATCTAGGTATATACCTACCCCATTCTTTTTTCTCTCTGGGTCGGACTGCTTCTCGGTCAGGGGCTGAGCTACTTTTGAGCTTGTATATACACACCAACAAGCCACACCCCGCTTTCTGCAATGCTATATTTAGCGCACGTCGCCGCTCGCTGATGAGGCGGCACACAATTTCAATTTCGTCACGACCGTTCTAAATATAGCAACCACCACGCCAAAACTGCCAACGCCACAGAGACGTCCCAGTCTTAGTGCGGTGCGGAGATGGCTGCGGGCAGTCTCCTGCCGTTGTTCCACCAGAGACCCGCTGAACCGATGGTGGAGCGCCCCACTGAACCAGACGACGTCTTGGCTGAGCTACTGGGAGGGGCTGGGGTCAGACCTCGCTCCTTTGAACGGAGACTGAACTGTAGCCATGTCTTTGTTTCTGCAGGACGATTTACTAGCTTCTCTACTTGAGCCAGGGTCTACCTACTTCAATGAGATATCCAGCCCACCGCTTCCCACTACCTTCGCTTCTTCTCACACTGATCTTTCCTATGACACTTCTTTCACCCACGATGCCTTTATCAGTGCAGATGAAAACAGAACTAACACTCCACAGAGCTACTCTTCTGGCAGTCCTGTAGATATTGTGGAAAATTCCCCTGGCAGTACTAGTCCTGGTGATGCAATGATGATGTCATCCAATGTGATGCCTAATGATGAACTGGGTATCCTGCTGGGGAGCATTACTAGTGTCAGCTCAGGAGATAGTTCTGCAGATGTTCGGATCAATGTTGGTGAGTGTCTGGTCATGAGGGAAGTGGGCTCTTTATTTCTGTTTCTCCCACAGACATGGGACTAACTGGTAGAGGAGTGGAGGTAGCTGGGCAGTCTTCCTCTGGAAGAAAGGCTCACACCCTTGTCCTGACAGAGGAGGAGAAGAGACTGCTGAGTGCAGAAGGAGTAGATCTACCAACAGACATGCCTCTCACAAAGGTCAGATCCCCTCCCCACCTTCATCTCCCGCTTCACTTCCGCCTTGCCCGACAGACTGAGCAGAAACATTTGAAGGGAGTTCGTCGTAAGATAAAGAACAAGTTGTCGGCCCAGGAGAGTCGGAGGAAGAAGAAGGAGTATGTGGAGGGGCTGGAGGAAAGGGTGGACACCTGCACCCACACCAACACCCAGCTGAGACAGAGGGTCAAGACTCTGGAGGGTCAGAACAAGACTCTGCTCCAGCAGCTGCAGAGACTCCAGGCTGTGGTGGCGGGGCTCTGCCCCAGCAAACTGCAGGCCGGCTCTCTGCTCATGGTTCTCAGTCTCTCCTTCACTCTTCTCATCTGGCCCCGCCCAACAACCACACCCACTTCCTCGTATTCTGTCAGTGGTATGTTTGAACTCAAGAGTGATTTTTTTACTAACGACCCCTGGTCTCCACAGTACATTCTCGCAGTCTCCTGTTCATGGAAACTGATGATTTTGGAAACCTGATAGACCCAGAGTCAGGAGCCGTAGTCTCAGAGCAGGGAGGCCTCTCCCCGAAACCCCCTTATCCCTGGACACACCAGACCCCTGCCTTCCTTCACCCCAACACCCACACCGAACGCTACACATTTCGTGAATTGTGACAATGTGTATTACTCTCTACAAAATAAATCTCATTGTCTCTAAAACTGTTGTTCTACTGGACTGGAGGTAGTTGTATGACAGGTCCAGAATAGGGCTCTCTCTCCACTGCCTCAGGCACCCAGACCTTGTCTCTCTGGAGGATGCGCGAGTACACCACCTCAGAGTAGGGTTTGCGGGGAATGTAGCGTCCACTGCCTCGAACTACCTCCACCTATATATACTCATAGGGAAAAGAATAATAGTGAGGGTAAGAGGATTGAGGGAGGGGAAACACACCTTCCCATGATCGACTACAACTCTGCCTTGACTGATGACCAGCAGTGGAATTCCATGGCACTCCAGTCCTTCAAATATGTTGAAGTCAACATTCTACAGCCACACATTAGTATAAGAACAGAGACAAGTGTCGCCGGGATGGGGCCTCACATGATGATGGGTCTTTGCAGAGATGGTGCGAGTAGCCTCGGGGTCCCAGACCACAATGTCAGCATCTGAACCTTCTGCAATCACTCCCTACATGCAGGTTATGAGCACGATAAGGGGGAATGTAGTGGGAGGTCATGCAAACCTTCTGTGGGTATATGTTGAAGACTCTGGCAGCAGTGGTGCTCGTTACAGCCACATAACGACAGGGGTCCATCAGCCCTGCATGCTATATGGTGGACGTACATACCTGAATTTCCCATCTTTCTAGTTTTCCACTCACCACTCCTTTCTCCCAGATGACTGACATACGGTCCTCCACACCTGTACATTATCAAACATATACAGTAGGGTTCTTTCTACCCTAAAAATGCCATCCGCTGTATGTTTGCACTAATGAATATAGTGCAATTCACAAGAGAACATCACAAACATACCATTGACTCCATTGGGTATCTTCCTGAAGTCAGAGGCTCCAAGAGCTTTCTGGTCTGCATTGAATGTACAGTTGTCAGTTCCAGTCAGGTCTAGGTCCCCACTGGATGAGAGGGAAATTCATAGTACATAGCTAATGACAGGGGCAGACCCACTTGGCGAGGAGTGTCATGAGGTAGCGAGGGGTGCTGGGATCAGGTCTCAGTGGAGGTCCCATCACATAGCCCGCTGCGTGTCTCCAACACTTGTGCCAGTAGTTGGTTCCGTCGGTACCCAGGCAGGCAGCAATCGGCTCTCCAAACACCACGTGACCTGTGAGGTAAGAATCCACCCACTGAACATGAAGAATGCCACTCACTACCTTTCTCTTTGCCCCTCATGACAGCTTGAGCTGCACTCTTACTCATGACATGCACAATGTAGATGGGGCAGTTGACCTGGTCACACAGAGACACACACTAACTCAGCCAGTAGACAGAGAAACACAGACCTGGCTGGCAATAGTGATGGCTCTGGCAGTCGCCTCTCCCTCAACTTCCTCAGGTCGACACATCTCGTGACCCTCAGGTCCCGTGATTCCAAGTTTTATCATCTTCTCTGATTGCTGTGGTAGACACAAGAGTCCTGGAGAGGGTGTTGCTATGGCTACCGGAGAGACTAACAGCTGCAATGAGATCTCCATTCTCAGCATGGACCTGTGCCAGAGCACCCAGCTCCTTGCATCTCATGAAGGCCTTCATCAGCTGCAGTCACACACACATACACACTGGGTAAGGTGAGTGGTGAGTGGAGAGAGAAGCTAGGGAATTGCCTCATCGTCCCGCAGCATAAAGAGGTCTTTGTAGGCCAGAAACATCTTGAAGGAGTTCACACCTGCACAGACCTCACACTAGTCACGGAGCATTGTTTCATTGTAGTTCACCTTTGTCGGAAACAAGAGTGGCCATATCTTGGTAGACCTCCTCCCCCCACCAAGTCACTCCCACGTGGAAGGAGTAGTCGCAGCAGACCTTAGGGTCGGCCCAGCCTCGCCACTGCTCATACATCTTCAGCAGGGACTGGTTCTTGCCTCCCAGAACAAAGTCAACTGAGCCACGAGAACAAGGTCACTGGAATTATAACAAGGAGAGGGACAGCTCACTAATCATGGTGGTTCCTCCTGCCAGAGCAGCTCTGGTGCCATGGTAGAAGTCGTCAGCAGCAGTGGTGCCAAAGAATGGGAGCTGCATGTGAGTATGGGTGTCTATCCCTCCTGCAAATGGTGGGTATTCGATTGCAGTTTTTCAACACAAGTCCACCTGCAAACCTGGCATGACTAGTTTCCCTGTGGCGTCCACCACTTTAGCATCGCTGGATACACCTTCCAGGTCGCAGCCCACCTTCCTGGAGAGGCACATATTTCCCCACCAGCAGGGCACAGGGCGGGGCGTGCAGACCTGATAATGCCGTCTTCACAGTAGACATCTGCTCTGAACTTTCGGTCTGCATTCACCACAGTCCCTCCCTTGATCAGGAGACGCCTAGGACCCTCACTCATGTCTGCTAACTGCAGCCAAGCCGGTGTGCAGAATCGATCAATTTTGTTTGCACATGCGCAGATCAGTGATGTGCGTTAATTAGAACAAACGGGCCCAGAAGTGTCCGCGAGTCCATGTGGCGAAGTGAAGTAAGAATCTCTCTTGATCTTGTAGTCTGAATGATTTTTACTGTCGTAAATAGCAGCAAGTTACCTCTGTATCTTGTATTTATGTGTAGGAGTGAGCCAAGATGGGAAGATATTCGCGGGAGCCTGAGAATGCGGCAAAATGTGAGTGCATCTGTCCAGTATGTTGTTTGGAGTGAAAGTGCGTGTCTGCAGCCTGTAAAGCCCGGGGTTTCGACCTCCGAGTTCACTTCAAGAACACGCGGGAAACGGCACAAGCCATCAAGGGAATGCACCTGCGGAAGGCCATCAGCTACCTCGATGACGTGGAAAAGAAGAAGCAGATAGTTCCATTCAGACGGTACAATGGGGGAGTAGGCAGGAAGGCCCAGGTTTGTGTGACAACTGTAGCTAGCATTGCTGATCAGTGACTGTAATTCTCCAGGCCAAGAACTGGAAAGCTGCTGGTTCCCAGGGAAGATGGCCAATCAAAAGTGCTGCCATCTTGCTTCAGCTACTGAAGAATGCAGAGAGCAATGCAGAAGTGAAGATGCTGAACACCGACAGTTTGGTGGTGGATCACGTACAAGTGAACCGAGCTGCGAAGATGAGGAGAAGAACATACAGAGCTCATGGGAGAATAAACCGTTAGCGACACTGGTGGGTGTGGTCTGTGATGTAATGGTGTACTCTCTCTCTCTAGCGTACATGAGTAGTCCGTGTCATGTGGAGATGATTCTGGTTGAGAAAGATGAGGAGGTCCGTAAACCAGACGAAGATGCTCAGACCAGGAAGAAGGTGTCTCAGAAGAAACTCAAGAGGCAAAAGATGAAGGCTGCCATGAGTGGTGGTGTAGACTGACGACTTTTCTGTCCTTAGCATCATACCAAGGCTGTGTGTGTATTATGGTGAATTTTCCGATCCAAAGCAAAACGTGTTAACAGTGCGCATGCGCAAGTGTGGTGTGCACGTGCACCCTCGTGTATTGATCGGAGTTAGTATAGTAGATCGACAAATGGCGAGCGGTGTGTGTTGGTCTGTTCTGCTGGTTTTACTGTTGGCGGTAGCGGACAAAGCTCGTGCCCAGGACAGCGATGTCATAGAATTAGATTCGGCGAATTTCGACGACGAGATAGCTGACCGAGACATCGTATTGGTCGAGTTCTACGCTCCATGGTAAGTTATTATTTGCTCCAACTCTCATTCTCGTCTCCTTATCGTATCAGGTGTGGCCACTGCAAGAGACTGGCCCCGGAGTACGAGGCGGCTGCTACTGAGCTGACTCTGGAGGACCAGCCAATTCCCCTTGGTAAGGTCGACTGCCCCGCCAACTCGGACCTCTGCGGCCGTTTCGGAGTGACAGGCTACCCAACACTCAAGATATTCCGTGGAGGAGAGTTCAGTGCCGACTACGCAGGACCACGGACCTCTGGTGGGTTTCCCTGTGACTGTAGGTTTGTGATGATATCAATGGCTCTGTAGATGGCATCGTTAGCTACATGAAGAAACAGGGAGGCCCTAGTTCCAGAGGTAAGACTGTGTGACTGCTACACCAGCCTCAGTACTTCCTCTCTCTCTCTCTCTGACTGAAGAGTTTAAAGATGTGGATGGACTGAAGGATTTTCTGAAGCACTCTGAACACAGCATCGTCGGTTTCTTCACAGACTCCTCAGGGAAACTGGCCAAAACCTTCAAGACTCTGGCAGATGGTCTCAGAGAGTCCTTCAGATTTGCCCACTCCACCTCTGAGGCTGTCCTCGCAGAGTTTGGCTACACCGAGTAAGTTTCGTATGCAGGTAGAGGTCAAAGATTGTTAGCTCAGCTCCACCCCTCCAGTCACGTGGTGATATTCCAGCCTCCACAGCTCCACACTAAACTGGAGGAGAATGTGGTGGTCTATGATGGTGCAGAAAGCTTGCTGATCTCAAATCATTTGTCAAGACCAGATTGTGAGTACTTTTACCACCAGCTATGGTTGTGTGTAGTTTGTCTCTCCACAGCATGGGCCTGGCTGGTGTACGTAATCAGGACAACAGACAATTCTTTGATGCTCAGAGTCCCTTGGCTGTTGTCTACTACGACGTTAACTACGAACACAATCCTAAAGGTGATTAGTATAGCAGTGCAGGTCACGAAACTCTCTCTCTTCCCTTCTGTGTACAAACAGGCAGTAACTACTGGAGGAACAGGTATCTACAGTCTATACCAGTGTTAGCATCTGTTGGTAGTGTCAGAATGACTTCAACTACAGGGTCATCAAGGTTGCCAAGGATTTTGTGGGAGAGGTTAACTTTGCTGTTTCCAGTAAGGCAGCAATGGGAGGCGAGCTGCAGCAGTTTGGGATTGGGCCTGACCAGGAGGTCGGGGTGGGTGTTTTTGACAGTCAGGGTCGCAAGTATGCCATGACTGAGAAGTTTAGGTGTGTTCAGAGAGAGGAAACTGCCAAGGAATTTCATCTTGTCTTTCTCTCTCTCCTCGTGTGCAGTGTGGACAGTCTGCGAGAGTTCATCACCCAGTTCCTGGCTGGAGAAGTTGAACCTTACATAAAGTCTGAGCCGCTCCCTGACAATAGTGGCCCTGTCACTGTAAGCCACACCCACCAACTGTGGGTAGTGTGAACCGTTCACTGATCTCCTGACAGGTCCTTGTCGGGAAGAACTTTGATGAGGTGGTCAACGATGATTCCAAGGATGTCCTGATAGAGTTCTATGCTCCGTGGTGTGGGCACTGCAAGGCCCTTGCTCCCAAGTATGATGAACTAGGGAAGAAGGTTAGTGAGTGTAGCTTGTTGCCCATCCGTCAGATGACTTACCTCTTCAGTTTGAGAATGACCCCAACATTGTGATAGCCAAGATGGATGCCACAGCCAATGACTACCCATCAACATACGAGGTCCGAGGGTGAGCGCTGGATTTCTTATCCATTCTGCTTGGCCATTGGGCCTTCCTCATTAGATATCCAACCATCTACTGGGCTCCAGCTGGGAAGAAAGACTCACCTGAGAAGTATGAGGTAAGTCTACACTCCACTGTTTACATTGTCCACTGCCACCTCTACTTCAGGGAGGTCGCGAGGTTGCAGATTTCGTCGATTTCCTGAAGCGGAAAGCCACCAATCCAGTGGTGATATCTGGAGAAGATGAGGAGGTGGGGGAGAAGGGGGAAAAGAAGAAGAAGAGCAAGGACAAGCAAGAGTTATAATAGGCGGCGAACAATTAGGTTTAGTGAATCATGTTGCAAAGCGCTGCTCAGCGGCCATTTCTGTGCTGTTAGTTCTTCTAATTTACCGAATTTCAAATTTTTTTGCCCGCTGGTTCTCCGTCTGGACCTCGCTCGTTTTTTTGCGCGAGCGAGAGCCAGGAGAGAGTGGAGTGAATGTGGCTAAAGATAGTGTACTGACTGTGTGTCCTGTCATGAACTCCAGTTAGGAACGACGTAAAAGAGAAGACGTATTTCAAACTCGCGCCATGGCTACGCGGAGAACGGGTATGTCCCCGACTTGCACGTTCGAAGAGGTTTAGTCACCCTTGTGACATGCAGGAAGACATGTTCAGCGGACGGGAGAGACAGAGGAAGAGACGAGCGAGGGAGCAACAGGATGGGGACCTCCGGGGGGAAAGGACCCCGACGCCCCCGACAAAGATGCCGCTGGTTATGACGAGGAAGGAGGTGACACCAAAGCCATGAAGCTGACACTAATGGAAGAGGTTCTGCTGCTCGGACTCAAGGACAGAGAGGTGAGTGGTGTGGGGTGTGTCGAGTGTGGATGGCAATGAGAGGTGACTGGTATGCACCCGCAGGGCTACACCTCATTCTGGAATGACTGCATATCCTCGGGGCTGCGAGGGTGCATGTTGGTAGAGCTGGCCCTCAGAGGACGTATTGAGCTGGAGAAGACTGGCATGAGGAGGAGAGGGCTTCTCTCAAGAAAGGTCATCTGTAAAAACGCCACTCCGACTGGCGACGTTCTGTTGGATGAAGCTCTGAAACACATCAAGGAGACTAGTCCCCCCGACAACGTGCAGAGCTGGATAGAACTCCTGAGTGGTGAGTGTATATAGTTCTGAGTGTGTGAGGGGAGGCAGGGTGGTCTTGCTGCAGGAGAGACATGGAACCCTCTGAACCTCCGCTACCAGATCCGCAATGTGAGAGAGAGGATCGCCAAGAACCTGGCGGAGAAGGGGGTCCTCACGACAGAGAAACAGAACTTTGTGCTGTTTGATATGACAACGCATCCTCTCACAGACACCACTGCCAAACAGCGGCTGGTGAAACGTGTGCAGGAGTCTGTTCTGTCTCGCTGGGTCAATGAATCAAACCGCATGGACCGCAGAACTCTGGCTCTTATTGTGCTGGCCCATGCCTCCGACGTCCTGGAGAATGCATTTGCATCGCTGCAGGACGAGGAGTATGACCTTGCAATGAAGAGGGTCCGGGAACTGCTGGACGCTGATCCTGACGTGGAGGCACAGAAACCAGGCGCCAGTGACATCATTTGGGCCGTAGCTTCGGCATTCTTGAAGTAGACTCTATTTAGAGCCCACTTTCCATACACATTCTTGTCCTCTCTGTAAAAGTTGTACCACACCTGTTACTATGGTAACACGTGCTCTGCCAGCAGCAGGGTACACGTTGGAATACAACTGTTTTTGTTTATTCATAAAAATGATGATGCTATTGTGAAAGGTGTGCTAGACGAGCATTTTCCCGGCAGCAGCAATTCCAAACTCGAGGACCTTCCATGCGGTGATGGGATCGTATTGTGACTGGTCCCGACACAGAGCCCAAACATAGTACACATTCTCCAGTAGCTCCTCCTGTACACAGCATTAGTGTACCACAAACACTGATAGGTACAGGGGAAAGTCAGACCTGTGTATCGCTGCCAGCTCTGGTCTTGAGGGTGAGCTGCTGAGCCTGGAAACTCAGGACCAAGACAGGCCCTGGGTCCAACACCTTTGCCATCAATATCTGGGGCCACAGCAACTAGCAGAGGCTAAGTCGAGGGAAGAGAGAGAGACTTACGTCAGTGTCCCGGACCTCCAGAATCCTGGAGTCAATGGTCACTCCAGGCTCTGCTCTCTGGTTTACCACTGCTGCTATCACACTGTAGGCCTGCATACACATCAACAGTCCAGAGCCACTGTACATCATAACAACTCACTGCCTCGTGACACCAATCTTTCAGAGCTTCGAGGTCTCCACGAATGTATGCCTGAGAGACTAGATCACATGACTATCACATGATACCGAATGCCACACCCACCTCCAGAACAGTGGGAATGATCTCAAAACGACAGCGCTCGATGAACTTTTCCTTGTCAAAGCTTCGATCGATTTTCTTGATCTCAGCGAGAGCGAGGGCCATGTCAGATTGGTTCATGACACTGCCAAAGGCATCTCCGACTCGGTCAGTGACTGCTCTGCTCCCTCGGACCACCACATGGTCACTTTCATCATATCTCATCCTTAGTGAGTACAGTACTGGGGGTGCATTAGTAATAATGGCAGGGGTCAGGGGGAAGATGAAGTAACTCACAGTTGGAAATTGGGTTTTCTTCTCTCAGTTTCTGCCAACGTTGTCGCCAGTTGGACTGCTGCGTTACTGTCACCCCCTTTGTGTCACTAAACCAACAGACAATCCATTCACAGTCTCCAGTATACGGACACGAGGACTCACTCATTGGGTTGAATGAAGTCCTCATCTCTGGCAGCTGATGAGGCATGACCTGCACTCATCTCTGCCCTAGTCTGGATACGTTCTATAAACCAAGTGGACATAAATCACTGAAATAATATACACCATATCTATAATATTATGGAGGGTCAAGAGTATTAACTCTATTTGGCTAGTGTTACTGGATCTTATATACCCCCTCACCTGGTGGTTTGTAGGGAGCAGAATGTTTGATGATGTCATCGAGCAATTCTTCCTTGACAACGGTGGCTCCTTTCTGCACGGCCTGGCCCACATCAGTCTTCACTAGCTCCTCTGCCTGGTCTGCCACCTTTTCTGCTGTCTTCGTAGCAATGTGACTACCTCTTCTTCCAAGCTCACTTCCACTCACTCCTGACACTGTCTGGAGAGGAGGAAAAGTGGAGATTCCTCCAAACTAGTAGGAGGTAATACCTTGCTCAGGCCTTCTCTGGTCTTCCCCCAACTGTTTCGGACCAACTCCCACCCTTTCCTCCCTCCCTCCCTGGCCTTCTCCCACCCCTCCTCTGCTCCCTCTTTCCAACGCTGCAGGACATAGGAACGCTGCATTCGCTCCCTCTCCTCGCGAAGCCCCTTCAGGCTCTCCTGCATATCCTTGTTCCTCTGCAGCCCCTGCTGCAAGTTGCTCAGGAAGTTCTCAACAAAGCCTATCCTCCTCTTATTCTTCCCCGACCTTTCCTCTCCACCCTCCTCCCCTCCACTGCTCCATCTTACGCACACTCGTCTCTATGAACAATATTCAAGGCTCGTACACGATACATACATGACTGGAGAGTCGCTATACCGGTATATACTGTCTCCTGAGAATACTCATCCTTGCTATGGACGACATCTTCACTTTGTTGCACGTCTTGCACCCTCACGTGGCCGAAGGTCGAGGTTCAATATCATAACCGCTCACTTTATCGTGCGCTAAAATGGAATTGTATCCATGACAACCGGCAAACAATATATGCGGGCCGGAGAGATTATGACTTCGGCGGCCGCTGTGGCGAGCTCTGTAGAGGTGGGACTGGAGGCTTCAGATAAGAGGAAGATGAAAAAGAAGAAGTAGGTCGTTACTCGCGCTCTCTATAATTATACCGCAAGGGCCTCAAACTCACTATAAAGTGCTGGTTTCCTTTGTTCTGCAGATCTCTCCTCATTAACCTAACACACTGCAGATATGACAGTGGTAATAATCTGCAACAGTAGCTGTGGCTACGTATGTTTGATGACCTGTTCCTCTCTGATGTCTCTGAGCAGTTCGTAGAGTGGCCAGACGCTGTGGTCTCCTACCAACGACTGGTGATTCAGATGACTGGACTGTGTTCTGGATGGACACCTCTGTTCTGATGGAGAGAGCCATGGAGATGAAGAGATATCAGGTCAGCTGCAGGATTGTGTATCTACACCAATTACTGGTCCTATTTTCATGAGCAGAAGATCAACCATTTCCCAGGGATGGGCGAAATCTGTCGCAAAGACCTTCTCGGCAGGAACCTCTCTAGAATGAAGAAACTGTTTCCCAAAGAATACAACATTTTCCCCCAGACCTGGGTCATGCCTGCAGAGTAAGACAAATAGGAACTCAGTGACTGATAGTTTCTGGCCTCATTCCCCAGCTACAGTGACTTTCAGACCTTTTGCCGACTCAAGAAACACAAAACCTTCATCTCAAAACCAGAGGCCAGCTGTCAGGGCAGGGGAATCTCCATTTTCAAGAACCCGAAGGTGAGTAATGAGACTTACACCACAATGCAATATTGAAACCTCATCCTGGTGTCCAGAGCATCAAACCAGGGGAGCACTGTGTGGTACAGCAGTACATATCAAGAGTAAGTCACATCTGTTGTGAGTATTAGCGGTATACAGTAATGCTGGTCTTCTCTGTAGCCATTTCTCATTGATGATTTCAAGTTTGATCTGAGAGTGTATGTGCTGGTGACCTCCTGTGATCCACTGCGGGTCTACATCTATAGAGATGGTCTGGGAAGGTTTGCCACCATTCCTTACAGAGAACCGACTCACCACAATCTGGTAGGACATGACACACTCTGAACAGGCCTTAACAACTTGTGGGCTCTGCAGGAAGAGGCCTGCCTGCATCTCACCAACTACTCCATCAACAAGAACAGCCAGGACTTCATCAGGGACGATGTCTGCGGCAGCAAACGCAGACTCTCAACTGTCAACCAGTGGTTCTCTGACAACGACTACGACACAGGCAAAATCTGGGCCACAGTTGACGACGTGATCATCAAGACACTGGTGGCAGCTCATCCTGTTCTGAGACACAACTACAGATCATGCTTTCCTTCTCACACTCACGGCTCTGCCTGCTTCGAAATCCTTGGCTTTGACATTCTGTTGGACCGTAAACTAAAGGCCTGGCTTCTTGAAGTAAGGTGCATATTGTACCAGTGACACTATCAGCTAGCACTCACCTCTGGGCCACAGGTAAACCACTCTCCTAGTTTCCACACCGACTCTCCACTGGACAAGGAGGTGAAGGAAGGTCTTCTGAGTGACACGTTCCACTTGCTGGACCTGCGGGCCACTGACAGACGGCGCTGTATGGAGGAGGACAAGAAGAGGGTTCAGCAGAGACTCCTCACTAGACACAGGACAAAGGAGGAGAAGTGAGACCAGTTGTCTAGTCTCGTCCTCTCTCTAACTGACTCCTCTCACCAACAGCTGCAGGGAAGAAGAGGAGAGAGTAAGAAGTGTGCTCCGATCACAGGCCTATGAGGAGAGGCACATGGGAAGGTTTCGAAGGATCTACCCTGTGAGAGAGAGGGAGGACGACACTTACTGCAGGTTCTTTGAGCAGACCAGCTCCCTGTGTGCTGAGACTGCAGCCTCAAAGGCCAGAATGGAACTGGCCAGACTACAGGTAACTGATGTTGGCTCATACTGTTGCACATATAATGTGCATATGTGACCCGCTACGAGATATCGAACGATACCAAACCCCCAGATGTCCCATTTCTCATAACCGGTCACATAATATGTATCATAATACAGAGGCAGGAGATTGAGGAAAAGGCAAAGGAAGAGGAGAGAAGGAAAACTACACTGGGAGGAAGAGGAGAGAGGAGAGAGAAGGGAGAGGAGATGGGAGAGGTGCAGGTGGAGGAGCAGAGCAGAGTCAGAGTGGCTGCCAGGAGAAGAGTTCCCTTCAGACTGACCAGCAGCAAGAAGACAGAGCAAACTGCTGGGGCAGGGGAGAGCAGGAAGACCGAGCAACCAGCCACAGCAGAGGAGACTCGGGAGACATTGGAGTATGAGGTGATTGATGAAGAGGAAGAGAGGGAGAGATTGGCTGGGCTACAAGTCAGAGAGCGACTGGTCCGGAACCTTGATCTTCCTCAGACTCTCTCCTTCCTTCTGGCTTCCCCACGATCTCCTCCTCCCCTCCCCACCTCCACATTACCACTTCCCAGAAGACACAGCTCCACTCATCACTGTTCTCACATCACACAGTCAACTCCACAACCTCTCCTCTCTCTGCACTCCAAACCTTTCGTCACCAAGTCTGGGTCAGTAACTTTCTCCTCAGTTGAAACTTTAATGTATGTCTCTTCTGCAGTCCTCCATTTCGCTGTTGGCAGAGTTCTCTGGATCCTCTGGAAGCATTTGGTCTGGTGGTGACAGCTGCTCCTGTCACTAGCAGGCACCCTCCCACTCACAGACCCTAGCATAGAATTCACTTTTGATCATCATTTTTGTGCCATTGTTTATGGGTTTACGTGCCACCAGTCAATTCGCTCGTAGAATGTTAGTAGCTAATAGTGAAAGAAAATAGTGTGACAAGTGCATAACAGTCTATACTGTCTAGCTCTCGGGCTGGGTCCCTAGCAACTGTTCTTCTTTTTCTCTGAGCTGTCTCTCCAGTCCCTGGGCCTCCAGCACAACTTCTAGTCGTCTCTCCTCTCTTCTTGTCCTCTCCAGAACAGCGCTTCTCCTCTCCAGCTCCCTGCCAGTGTAAAGAGCTCCCATGACACAGTGTGTGCACCCCTGTCCACCTTACCTGTCCAGCAACCCAATTCTCTGCTGCAGTTTGAAGTTGAGGTAGAGAGAAGCCAGCACTTCATGGTTGACCTCGTCCACTGAGCTTCCCTCCTCTCTGGCTCTCTTTATGTCGCCGAACACGCTCACGTGAGCCGGGACGGTAAACACGTTAGAACTGCAGAACTGGATGAATTTGTGGAACCATTTCTCGTCCAGAGAGCGGCTGTAGGATGCCAGGAGCTGGTCGCAGCCGTCCTTCACCTCCCGCTGTCTCTCTGGCTCGGGGAATTCGGCCAGCAGTGCGTCTCTGAGGGCACCGACTGCTCCCAGGAACTCATTGTAACCAACTGCGTAAATCTCTTCGTACAGACGGTTGGGATGGAAGCCGAAATGCTGCCAAGTAACCAGCTCGTCCATCCACAGCAGTCTCTCGGTGCGCTTCGAGCTCCACCCTCGTAAAGACCCGCCCACTAATCGTGATGTTCTAATTTAGCGAAATACCAACAGGGAGAAATTTGCAAATCCATAGACGAGAGGGAATAGTTGTGAAACTTTTGGCGGTGTGCTCGCTCAGGAGAGAGACACAGACCCTCCCTCGCTCGCTGCTTAGCGCCAATCCAGTGACCTATGTCCAAGAAAACGCTCCGAGCAGAGCTAGCCATCCTAGAGAAACACTTTCCGCAAGATGAGGGCAGTTTCCAGATAGTCCGCGCCAACCCGGAGGAGTTGGTGTGCTGTTTTGTGGACTCAGCCGGCCACAAGTACACCATCCAGTGCAGTATATCAGTGAGTGGCCGCCAGCGAAACTCTGTGTGTGTGAATATAGTATACTCTCCCCCCGCAGCCTAGCTACCCCGTGGTTCTGCCCGTCTGGTACACGGAAGCTAGCGAGTCGTTCATCATTTCACTAGTAGAGGAACTGAATGTTTCAGACGGAGCCAGCTCTGGAGCTAGTCACCCGGTATGCTTCCCCTCCTCCCACTCTCCTGGCCTGTCATGTCATCAATAATAATCTGCCTCCACAGCTGCTGGCGAAGGTGCAACTGGTGTGTAAGAGACTTTGCACTGTTCTCAACACACCAGTTCCCAAGGTGATAGCCGAGCTATTCAGTCTCGCCTCTTCCATGGAGGTATACCGGTATACCTCGCCCTCCTTTCCTACCACTCTCACTCTGTCTCTCATTGCAGGTGGATGAAAGTGACTCGGATGAAATGCAGCATGACTTTGGTTCAGGAGAGGTGTGTGCGTGTTCTCGTGATCTGTATGTACTTCGACTCTCTTTTTCCCTGGCAGGAAGACGAGGGTGAGGAGGGGGGAGATGAAGAGGAGGAAGAGGAAGATTACGGTGATGACGAGATGTTTGTTGAGGACTTGGACCTACAACAGAGGTATGTATGGTACACTAACATGCCCACACTCTCTGACCACCTCTCTCTCTCTGCTGTAGTGATCAGGAGGACATTGGAGGTGACTCAGGAATCACAGACGAGCACAAGGCTATTCTGGAGAAGGTTCGACTCAACACGAGACAGGACTACCTGCAGGGGGCCACGTCAGGTTCAGTCAGAGCAACTGACCGTCTCATGAGGGAACTCCAGGATATCTACCGCTCCAAGAACTTCAAGGATGGTGAGACGGGATGGAAATCTGATTGGTCGGATATTATGTCGTTTGTTCTCCCCCTTTCAGGACTGTACACAGTGGAGCTCATAGATGACTGTCTGTACAGCTGGAACATCAAACTGTTCAGGTTATTGCAGACACAAGATGTCGAGAAACAGAATGAGCATTGTTTGAGTTTGCATTTTCGTGCCACCAGTTTATGCACTAGTAGAGTGTTAGTGTCTCTAGTGTTCCACTCAGGGTTGATTCAGACAGCCCGCTCATGGAGGATATCAAGAAACTGAAGGAGACCGATGGACAGGACCACATCCTACTCCATGTCGTGTTTGATGACAAGTTTCCATACAGTCCTCCGTTCATAAGAGTGGTGAAGCCGGTGCTCTCCGGGGGCTATGTTCTGGCAGGTGGGGCCATCTGCATGGAGCTCCTGACACCGCAGGTAATTGGACAGACTGCTACAGCTGCTGATTGGATACTTGGCTGTGTTTCAGGGCTGGAGCAGTGCATACACACTGGAGGCAGTGGTGATGCAGATCAGCGCCACCCTGGTGAAGGGAAAGGCAAGGATAGCCTTCACCCAGACCAAGGTAAGACGTTCTCTCTCTCTCTCACCTCTGTCTGTATGTAACTCTTCCTCTGCACAGGGAGAGTCCTACACACTGTCTAAGGCTCAACATGCATACAAGTCACTGGTCAAGATCCATGAAAAGAGTGGTGAGTGATTGATAATGATATGCCCTCCCTCCCTCCTCGTTGAATGTCGTGGGGGGAAGATGCAAGTTTGGGGCAAGATAGGGGGAAAGATAAAGTTCTGTTCTCCCCTCAGGTTGGTTTACCCCTCCCAAGGAAGAGGGCTAAGCTCCACCCACTCTCAAATGATCAACTCTCCTCTTCACCTCATCTCAGATCAAGTTTTGTATTTTTCTTTTGATTTCCGTTCACCTGTCAATTGAAAGCGCTATTATATATTATTATTCTTTCCTTACGTTATCTGCTGCACAATATGTTGTGTCTATGATCAATTTTTGTTCAACAAACATTCTCTCGTTAACTAAACATTGTACAATTGTACAAGTCTTTCAGTTTGGTGGCGAATAATCAACTGACAGCAACGAACAGCTTCCTCGACA